GAAAGGGGCAAGGCCTGCGGCGCAGAACCGGCCGCCTCAAACAATCCTGGTGCACAGACTATAAGATTCTCTCCAAATTCTATTCTGAAGATGTGGAATATTTAACACTAAAGCTAAGGCCATTTTATTTACCTAGCGAGCTGCAATGTATCATTGTGAGTGTAATGTACGCTCACCCCCCACTCCTCAGGCAAAGAGGAAGCTGCACTAAAGGAACTGTACAGTAGGATTAATGGGCATGAAAACACATATTCTGATGCTGCTTTTAATATTCTGGGAGATTTTAGCCACTGCAATCTCAGGAAAAGCATGCCTGTATCAGTTTGTAACCTTTTTTCCAACTAGAGGAAATAAAACACTGGACCAATGTTACAGTAACATTAGAAATGCTTTATCAGCTGAATCTAAGCCTCATTTTGGTAGATCTGACCACCTAGCAATCCAGCTAAAACCTGCTTTTCATTAAAACGACTCAAGATGAAACCAGTCTCAGTGAGAACTGTTAACACCTGGAACGACTGTGCAAGAGCTGCCTGCGGGGCTGTCTAGAGGCCACAGACTGGAACATCTTCAAAGGGGCCACAGACAATAAACATGAATATGCAGAGACTGTGAGTGACTACATCAGCTGGTGCACATCCATATGCGCACCAGCTAGAACAGTGCATGTTTTTCCCAACCAAAAACCATGGTTTAATAGGGATATAAAAACAGAAAATCAGGAAGAGACGAGAGGCTTTTAAGTCAGGGGACCAAGCGGAGTACGTGAGCTGGGTGGCGTGGATCCCTGATTATGTTCTCTGCCCTTTTACGACCAACAGCGCTGTGTGTATAGTGTGTATAGTGTGTCTATAGCAGGCAGTTCAGTCCCAATGATCCTCTCTGCATTCTTTATGACCCTTTGAAGAGCCTTCCTCACTGCTTGTGTGGTGTTACCATAACAGACTGCAATGCCAGTGGTGAGGATGCTCTCTACCAGTCCTCTATAAGCCTGGGTGAGAGGGCGACGATTTAGCCCAGCTTTTCTGAGCCACCTGATGAAGTATAGCCGCTGCTGGGCTTTCTTTACTGTGGCAGCTGTGTTCAGTGACTAGCTCAGGTCAGATGTCACCTGCATTGTCCCATTCTGACCACCTGTGGTTTTTCACTCAGAAAGTCCAGAATCCAGTTACAGGTAGGAGCTGGGACACTGAGGTCTGTCATCTTCCCAATCAGCCTGCCTGGGTGAATGGTGTTGAATGCAGAACTGTAATCCAGGAAGAGCATCCTAGCATACGTACTGCTGTTGTCCAGGTGTTTCAGGGTATGGAATAACGCCAGAGCCGTTGCATCGTCCACTGATCTGTTGGGGCCGTAGGCAAACTGGAGAGGGTCTACGGTGTTCGGGACCATGTGGTTAACGTGTGTGAGGACCAGTTTCTCTAAGCACTTCATGGCGACTGATGTGAGCTCCACTGGCCTGAAGTCATTCAGAGTGGATGTGTCTGATGTCTTAGGGACCGGTATGATAATGGATTTTTTGAAAATGCGAGGAACTACTGCTTGGGTTAAAGAGAGGTTGAAGATGTCTGTATACACACTAGCTAGTTGATCCCCACAGGCTCTCAACACTCTAGCGGGGACACCGCCAGTGCTGACCCTCTCCTCATTTGCAGGACAATAGCTTGGTCCCAGATTTCCGCCTACAGACAAATGACTCCTCATTGGATTCCTCTCAACCTATAGAATGAGGCTATCGAGTTTGTGACCTTATTGACAGCATCGTGGACCAATGGCAGTCGATAAGACCGCACCATAGGGGGAGGGGGGTTTCTGGCCAGCACCAATGTAAACCTGTTTCTATCCAGCCAGAACCCCCCTAACTTAGAAATAATGGTATTTTCCAAACCAACGCCATTTTGTGAGTCAGGAAATGCAGTGTTTCCGTCAGAAAAACTTATTTTTCTGCATAAAAACATCAAAGGTAAGATGAGAAATTTCGCTGTACTTTTCGCGAATCGATGTCTGTTGTTGAAGTTTGTTGGCTTGTATCTCTGTAACGCTTTTACGTAGCGTTTTTACTAAAAGCTATTTTTGTTGTAAGCTTCTTCCGGCTCTTTTAACCAGGAACTCACAAAGACGAAGCAGACCACTTGGATATATAAAAAATAACCGTGCTGGTTTATTCAAAGAATCACAGGTAAAATTAACATTACACGTGGAGCCCATCAGGCCTATACATTTTATCACCTCGGTTGGGCTAGCCCCATACTACACAGAAACGTCAACCGAGACGCCTCTCTCACCAGCTTTGCAGCTGGCCATAACAGTAGTCAAAACATGAAGCAAATCAATGTGCGTGTGTGTGGCTGTTGATTAAGTGGTGTGTATCTAAGAACATTCTGACATGACATCTAGTGACATGTCATGACATTACACATAAGAAAATATTATGATAACAATTACGTTTGGACATATCATAATAATAACAATATCCTCCTGCCTGCAAACCTTTCTATCTAGTTGTCCTTGGCCATATGCACCCTGCAAAAAACTCATGAGGATGACTAAGCATTTAACAGCCTGAGCTAGACATCCTGTCTCCACTAAACATTTATAATACAACAAATATCTAACCAATATCTATCTGACTAAAAAATTACCTAACATACCGATGCATTTATGGAATCTGTGAAGTGTGGGCTTTGTTTTGAGCCATGACTAGTGGTGTTTTGATGGATTATAGTCGGTAAAATATGACAAAATATGAATCATATGCCCTAGCAGAGTGCCCCCTAGTGGACCTGAGATGTTGCTTTATTGTGCTTTATTGCTTTTGCTGTGTTTATTGTGTAGAAAAATGGTTTATATGA